AACAACAACAACAACAACAACAACAACAACAACAGCAGCAGCAACAGCAGCAACAACAGCAACAACAACAACAACAACAACAACAACAGCAGCAGCAGCAGCAACCGCAACAAAAATCCGATGGATCGCTTCTCTTTGAATCCTTGTCGACTCCGCCACGCTTTCCGCCAGGATTGGGCATACCGTCCGCGCATCCTGTCATTTTACCTCCAAACGCGAGATTTCCCCATATGCAATTCATACCGCACCTTAGGCAATTACCGAGTACGTATACATCTTCTAAACGCGTTTCAACGGATATCGTCTTTACGCGGGAAAAGACGAAACGACTGCGAACCAGTTGATAATTTTCCCATGAGGTTAAAGCGATCGCTTTTACAGATCAAACTGGAAATGTATTGAGGTATCCCATACCTGCGCATTTGATGGTACCGCATACGGGGCATTTAATGGTGCCGCACGGTGCACAAAGGCAACCGATTCACGGTTCTTTTTGCAATAATTTTCCTGTAAGTTTCTCCACAATCTTTATCGAATTTTCCGGAAATTTCCAAACTGTTGGTGCCGCGAACCAGTCTTAATAATTTTAGGTAATGTTACAAATGTTTCTTTCAGCAACCTACGCACTCGAATTTAGGGCCTCCTCCGTTTTTACGAACGGATCACAGCATAGTGTCTTCTTTTTCTAGTAATCAAACCGGTCCTCATCAACAGCAACATTCTTTCTCGCACTCTGAAAACCAACGAAATCAGAACAGATCTTTTCATCATGCGGAGCAACAAGGGAACCATCAACCATTTTTTAAAAATAATCAGCATCATCGTAATCACGATTGGAATTATCAGCAACGACAATACCATTATCATCATCATCATACTCACGTAGTAAATGGATTGACCAATACGGGAGAATGCGACGAATACGCTGGTCTTATGAGCGGCCGGGAGAAACAATGGTTAATTAATATACAATTGCTACAACTGAACACGAACGGGTCGTACGTAGACGACTACTATTACACCGTGTTTTGCGATAAAAGGAACAAACGGAACACAAATCAAGAACAGAAGGATAAAAAGTATTACAACAACAATAACGATAACGGTTACCACAGAGATTCGAGGTACTCTTCTCATTCCGTTTTTCGCCCGTCGGTTTGCCCGTTGGTGCTTTTCAAAGTCGTTTGATAATTTGGCAGTTTTGCGTTTTTCAGAGATCGAGACCAGTCGACGCATCATACCCTTATCAGACAAATATATATACCAGCACAATTCGAAAATTCTTTGGGAAAATTACAGTTTGCCAGTGTAACAGCTCCGCGTAAAGTTATCGATATGGACGTTGTGCCGAACAGCGATCCTCAGTCGGCCACGCAAATACAACAGAAAGACACGAGAAGAACGAGACAGTTGCTGCTTGAAATCGAAAGGGTATTGACACGATATTCTCTTTTATTCTTATTCCTCCACGTATCCGTATCGTAGAGTAGCGATCGTTGCTGCGAAACCCTTGCCCCCTATCATACGGAAGATGTTATTTTCAGTTGTACGTGATACAATTAAACTTGGAAGACTTGCATAATCCGTTGGCTCTGCTGAACGAACAGCAAACTCAGGAAAGAGAAACCGATGCGAGCACCGTTAAAAAGACTAGACCAGAATTAATAAATATGATGTTGTTATCTTTGCTTCAGTTAATTCAAGACGATAAACTGACGAGCATGCTTAGCATTCGAAAAGGGAAAGTGGGTAATCCGTGAAAGTATTCGCGATATTCGTGCCACGACGGTGTCCTCGTGCTTCATTAATGTCGTTGAATTGCATTTATTCTAGACACTGTTGTTAAGGTTCTTGCCGTACTTGAACGTGTCGGAGCATCGCGCGCAGGTGGAAGATTTATGGAATGCGATATTCCGAGGACTGGCGGTAATTGGTCGTAGAGACTCTCACTTGTTGGTAACGCTTTATTCGGAGTTTCAACATTGGTTCGCCACCGTACAAGACTTTGGCGTGATACTACGGCTAACACGATCCTTATCCGACTCTGTTAGTCAGCCGATCAAGAATAACAATTTATCGTTTGCTCTGACGAACAAGGTTCGTTTAGAATCCCATGCGGCCCGTTTCTCCCCTCGAAACACGAGTCGCACGCCACGTCTGATCACATCTTCTTTCTGTTTGACGTTTAGTTTGGCGTATCCGTAGTAGCCTCGATGCTGGAACGAGCGGAAGATCTGTATCCTACGGATGATTCTTTGCGCGCGGAATGGTCGTCTTTCGTGGAGAACATCATCGAGATAACAGGTGAATCGCCACCGTGCGTCGCACCGTGTCGACCGATGGCCGCGAATACGCTCAGTCAGCATTTAAATCGATTACCTCGCGTGAAAACCGAGGAGGGGTACACAAACCTGGAACTTTTACTAACCGATGCCAACCCATCCCGATAGTCGGAAATTGATTAAATCGTTTCTTGCTGTAACATTTCAATTATTTTTATTTTCGTTAGTATGAACAGAGCATTATTATGCCGAAGAAAATGTGCGGTCTCACCCTTCTGCTACATTATTACGTACTATTACATATTTCACTGTGATCGGTAACCATATTCTCACAGTAGATCCATGCTTCGTTTCTGTACCTCGAACTCGTTACGACAGCCGTTTTTCGATTCTTTCTCATTTAGATTTCATCCGATCGATTTATTTAGCCCATATATATATATATATATATTTATATATATATATATTTTCCAGTGTTCTGTGTACACCGATTTCTTAACCCCGAGTCTACTGTGTAAAACTGGTCATCGATTTCGACTTCCTTTTTACATAAACTACACATCCTATGTTCTTTTACAGTTTAATCGCGTAACTTTTCCTTTCTGAAACATATTTCCAATAGAATTCGTAGTACGGTAATTCTAGGATATATGTTTACCGATATTATATTGTCGAGACGTAGAATCGCATATTTTTGAAAGACCTTACAGTTTTCGCCCCTATTTCATCCGTCTCGCGCGTTCACTGGAATTTTCCATCCGTATCAGATTGAAACATCCAACTCGAGTTTTATCGTGCTCGTTCGATGGACGGTAAACGATCGAAGTGAACGAACTTGGAAGTATTACAAGTATATTAGAACGCATAGGGTGTGTAGGTTTTTAACTTCCTTTAAGATTTCAAAGATAACAGCATGTTATTGTAATTGCTTGTTAAAAAGTCAGCTTTTCTCCGAAGCGACGACTCGTACAAAATAGTACGTTACCTTCGTACAGGACAAATTGTATCTACGAAACGCATCGTCTATTCGTTCGTATTGTTCGTTTCTACTGGTTTCTACTCGAACGTTCGAGTATCGCGTGATCGAAAGGATCGTGCACAAGTTTCTACGAAATTTCGCGAGATCGGAAGTATTTCAAGGTTTTTACATGATGCGCGATTAGCGCGTTAAGTAGCGAAAAAAGTTTGAGAGAAATCGGTGCGATCGACGTCTCTCGTCCAAAGACGGCGAGTCGCAACCTTTTCTTCTGATCGGTTCTATCCTCCGGTGAAAAGATTGGCGACCGTTTCGTGTGCATTTTTCAAACACTGATCAGTGTTGGGTAAAAAAGTGTTTGCGCAATTGCTTCCTGGTCGTTATAATAAGGAAAGAATATCGAACAGATTGTTGTAGCCTGTAGCAAATGCGCGAACAACGGTTTCGTATATACGACGACATGGCCTTTAGTATACAGTGTAAGGTGGTTACTTTTTATCGCAGAACACATTGATCGAGTCTTGTATGTACATTTAGCTTGTATGTACATAAAGCGATTCCGACGAATGAATAACTTCGTATATTTTGTAATTGGATGCAAAAGAAAATTTATTTTTTGCTTCCACGACATAGCAGTACGTCATTTTTGCAAAAAAGAAACAAGAAAAATGAGAAAGATTATATAAAAAATGATAAAAAGTATCGATCGAGTTATTTTTTAATCTCTGTAGTGGTTCTAAAATCCATGAATTACTCGGCATCTTCAAGTCACATAGTGTATATTAAATATTCGTAAAACAGAGCGGTGCGTTATATCGCGGTCCAATACTTGTACTCTTCTCTTGTAACGTAAGACACTAATTATAAGTTTAACGAGCTCCTTTCTTTTTTATTTTTTCTCTTTTGAAATGTGTATGTACCACTGTATCTAACCGAGTCTCGTTCCGAAGTATCACAAACATTCTGACAAATTCTCTTGTCCTTAAGTTCACTGTTCGACTTCAGTGTGATACATACTTACTTACGTACACTAGCGCGAGAATCCGGGAGTCCCACGGAACACAGACGGTTTCCGTTCCGACCGCGAACCGAGGCCGATTCCAATTTCGGAAGGAGTTGATTAGATTTACTGTTTTGTAAAATGATGATCGAACAGTGACCGATCTGAAATCGAGCACGATTCGATTCCACACTATCGGATCAAAGATATTTGTTGAGCCTGTACAAATTTTTTAATCTTTGAAAGTAAACTGTACCATAAAGTTTAACCACACGCATTATCTTTTACGCGTCTCTTCGATTCTGCTCTATAGCTTTCCGACCACTGCGAACGATATACGAAGCTTCACGATTTCCACGGAAATCGGTCGAATAGTATAGTAAACCGGAGCAAGTACTCAAACTACAAGTACTTATATATATATATTTTTCTAGCAGAACTCTGCTTACTGTGTTTACACGAGACAACTGTAGGCATATTTCGAAATACAAGATCGTTGAACGTTCTTCGCCCGTATGTCCCAGAAAAGTCCATAACGTTTCGAAATCGTGTTGTATCGAACGGTACTTTGACTCATCGATTCGTCGGCTTACTCGCGAGTCTCGCACATTTGAAATTTCACCGAGAAAACCGTGTATGCGTAACGCGTAGTACGCGGAAAATTGAATTTTTTTCCACCTCAAAGTAATCTAGAATAAACATTTGAAATTCATGAAGCGTCGTAACTGTATTTTGGAAAGGACACTGATAAATCTATAAACGGCAACGGTAGTAGGCGTTTCGTGTTTCTATACGCGTTACACCGAAATAAATACACGATAATCGACGTAAATGAAACCGCTGCAATACCGACTCAGGGATTCGCGTTCATGCTGGTCACGAGAATAACATTCGCGGCGCTGTTGCTCGGCCCGCAACATTTCGCGTGTTGTTGCTTCGAACTCGAGTGTTCCTTTGACCAACATTAACCGATGCGACAATTTTTTCGTTCAGGTGTACGTTATTCGCGATATCGGTATTTTCCCAGTGAATTGTTCGTTCTCATCGAAACAGAAATTCTTTCGTTGAGTCATTTTTCTTGGTGTTTCTTGCCCCTTTTTATTATTCGTTGCAGTTGTTCTTAGGAGGTTGCTTTGTATTGGCAGGTGTTTCATTGTCACAACGGATGAAACGAATATTTTTCTCTGGAAAGGTCATATTACTTCGTACGAGAAATTGCAGGTACCCGCTGATTTTTTCATCACGGGAAGAAAATTGTTTGATAATAGTGGATATACTGTCGGCCGATCAAGCGCAATTTCAAAACTAACCAGAATAACGAGCAATTTCTAATTCTCGAAGCTGGCTTTTATCGAAGAAAGTTTCGAATCTTATCGAGTAAGTATTATTAACCGAATCACACGCGGTACAGACTGTCTTTCCGTTTACGTCTCGTTTCTTTTAGTGTTTACTCTGTATCGTTCAACTTTCTACCAAAAGAAATTTCTTCAAAAAAATTCAAGTAACGTCGTCTTCCCCCTTCTTACAGTACAGACAAGCACGGAGGAGTACAGGGAAGTACGGAGAAGTAAAATATTCTTTCGGCAACAGTTTTTTCAACGTTGATCGCAACGTACCAGAAATATTCTATCGTATCTTACTTGGTTTACGTACCATAGTTGAAACAGGTATTAAACCGTAGAACATCTGGGAGGAAATTTATTAAAAATTCTTCCGTTCTTTTAAGTAGACATCCGTTCGACTGAAAAAATGTTATTATTCGATACGGCGTACAGACTAATCGAGACGTATAACGGAATAAGAGTATCGTCGGATCTAAAAAGAAAATCTCAACTGACTCCGTTTGTTTGCTGTAGGAAAGAATGTGTGACCGAGGGTAATGATCGTGGAAGATTAAGCTATGGCCAACAGAAAAGACAAATCGTCGGCAGGTTTTGTAAGTATTTATAGGAAAGCGGCGATACACGCGTAGGAGATAAAATACGTAAAATAGGTGTAAGGATTGAGAAACGATAATGGTCTCGATCGGTACCGATCGCGAAGGATAAAGTGACACTAAGAAAGTTTCGTTGCGAAGTATGTAACACGAAGCGTGGTCGGAATATCGTAGAACATCGCAAAGTGTACTGGTATTCGTGAACCGTGTGTGCATTCAGTACTGAAAAGCGATACGCGCACGCGATACATGGCCGTACCTCGAACTTCCTGCCTTACAGTTATCTGTTTTGTTCGTAGTAACACGATAAGGGAAAAGGTATCGGTGGACACGGTTAATTTCATTTGCATTTCGATTTTGAGTCTGTTTTCTCCTCGTGTAATCTGCTTCGCGAACGTTTCGTATGAAATCGTACGTTAAATTGCCCAAAGGACATTGAGTTCACCGATTAACAGAATTGCTCAAGATGGTAATCGAGGCTCGCCGGTTGGTATTAATCGAAATGAAACGCTCAAGGTGAACCATTCCGTACATGTACGCGCGGGCAACATTTCGTCAGCTATCATCGAAAGGACACGGCGCGTGAGTTGTAAGTTATTAGAAAAAACTAACGAGGTTCCGCGGAGAGCATTGGACGATCCTAATTTTCGATCTGCATACGAGTCGAATGAGTGGAAAAGGAAGGAAGAAAGGAAGGAAGGAAGGAAGGAAGGAAGGAAGGAAGGAAGAGGTCAGAACAGAAAGCACGCGAATACTTGTCGCGGCCTGTTACATCATCGACCGTCCGTTCGAGTGATCTCATCCGTTCGGAAAACTTTTGTCTCTTTCTCTTTCTCTTTCTCTCGTTGTTGTTCTTTCGCCGATGGTTAACCGGCAGATACGGGCGGAAGCGCCGTTCGATTTTCACGTGTTTCCGCGAAGGTAGCTAGACGCGGCAACAACCTGCTGGAACACCGTCATGGAGGGTAGGGGAAAATTTTCGCATATGAATTACGATGTTGTCGAAGCGACGAGTTTGCACGAATTACCGAAACCTTGAGCTATTCGCAGACGTGACGTACATGGTCGGACCTATTCCGACGTATACAATGTAAAATGTGACTCACGATACTTTGCGCCTCTCGAAAAGTGCTTTTCATCGGTGTCGAGAAGGAGAAATTAGTGGTAGGATCGTTCGATCGAAACCGCGTATCGTCGGAACGTGTTCGGATCGGAAGTAGCGAGGTGAACATGGAAAAAACAGGAAGAAAGAAAGAAAGAAAGGTAAAGAGGGAGTGGAAAGTCGTTCGTGATAAGCATATTAGGTGTTTAGAGAACGGTTTCTCGTTCCGGCGATGAGCCTCGAAAGATTCAAGAATGTACAGCTCGGCGAGAAAAAGCAACCGAGCTGTGCCTGATCGATACAGTGACAGTGATTATGATCGTGATCGTGATCGTGATCGTGATCGTGCTCGTAGGTTGAGCGAATGAATACGCACGCGCGTTCTTCGATCGTTCAGTCGGACGCGAACGCGATCTCGACCTTCTCTCCTTTTGGTCCGTTCGATGGCTCGCCATCGGCGATGCCGTTATCCTAAAGTTAGTTACTCGTCGGTGGTTGTCGAGAATGCGAAGCGTGCGTTGCCAGGCTGCTGGATTTAACCTAGAGAAAGACTAGGACGAGGTCAATGTCGAGAATGAGCGTGTCCTTTGCGAGTGCACCTACACATCGACGATAAAACCTTTTTATCGCGAATGTTCGGAGAACGTTGCATTCCTCGCATCGCGATAACGTCGAGCGTGCGAGGTGCGAGGTGCGCGGAAACAAAATATTGTTCTACATCGGTCTGTGTGATCACGGTCGAAGCGTACAGCGAAACCGATAGATGGAACCATTGAAAATTCCATTCTGTACTCGTTAAAGAAGAGTGTCGGACGTGTTGCGCGAAGCGGTACAAGCGGTACAAGCGGTACAAGCGGTACAAGCGGTACAGGCGGTACAAGCGGTACAAGCGGTAGAGGCGAGCGAAGTAGGTACACAAGTATCTTTGCGATCGATCGAAAAGTCGTTGCTTCCAAAGTGTCGATCTATGATTACGGATTGGGTAAGATTTCTCATTTTGACCGATATTCGCGCAAACACGCGGAGTTGGGACAAAGTTAATCGCGAGTCAAGTTTGTCAAGTGAAATCGTGTCGACCAACGTATTCGCGTTACTAAGGATTTCGACGTTGATCGTTTTTCAGCTGGACACATGGTTCGGCCGACCAAAAAAATCCGGGCGTGGAGGTGGGGTCAGAAGTGGTTCGGGAAATCACACGATGCCTCGACCCCATTCCGGCGATGATTTCAACGAGATCGAACAGCAACGATCCATCATCGAGAGAATGGACGAGGAAACAGTAAACGACAAGTTCGAGGAGATGCTGGTAAGCGGAGGCTTCTTCTAGTCTTGTCTCGTCTGCTCGATGGCTTGTGTAACTGTTATAATTTTTAGGCGAACATGAATCTCACCGAGGAGAAAAAGGAACCTTTGCGGCAGCAGTCGGAGACAAAAAAGAAAGAAATGTTGGTGTTGCATTACAAAGGCAGCGTTCAAGAAAATAGGTCGAAATTCGACAAACCGGCGGATTATATACAGTATTTAGCGCAACCCGACTTGAGCGTCAACAAAATTTACAGCTGCATCGAATCGTTGAGAATAGCGTTGACAAACAATCCGCTTAGTTGGGTTCAAGAATTCGGAACGAAGGGATTGAAACAGGTTTTAGCCACGCTGAACGAGTGCTACCGGAAGTAAGTATTCCATTCCCTATACGGCGAATCGTTGCATTACATCACGGCGTTGGTATTCGATGTTGTCCAACTACGAATTTCTAATGATCGTGTTGTTCTATTCCAGTGCCTTCGTATATTATGATAGGTAATTCATGCAAACATACTACAAAATACGCTTTAGTTTTTATTTTTCTTATTTTTCTTATATTTCTTGTATTTCTTGTATTTCTTATTTTTCTTATTTTCTTAGCGATAGAAAGTTTTGCGACTTTGACTTTCGTTTTTAAGCTGTTAGTTCTCATTAACAAAGCGTACGCGAGAGAAAGACCGATCGAACGGGCACAGATGAATTCTTGAAGCGTGCGATTACGATTGCTTCCACGCGTTTTGTCCCTTTTCCTTTTTCTTTCTCCTTTTCCTTCTCCTTCTCTTTCTCTCTCTCTCTCTCTCTCTCTCTCTCTCTCTCTCTCTCTC